CTACTTGATCTCATCTAAATGAAACATTGATTTTTTGAGTTTCAGCTGGGCCATACCCTCATTAACAAATCTGACCATCCCCTTTGAAATACTTACTATTTTGCCTCCTGTGACTTTATTTATTTTATGAAACCCTTCTGATTAGTTCAAACAACGGACTTGCTTTCAATAGAATAAGATGATTCCTTTTTAAAGACCTGTTTCTATTGTAGAAAGCTGATATATTTGGCTTGGGACACATCTGAGATGTTTAAATATAAATGGATGTGTTCTCTCATCTTCAACTGATCGTTTCCTTCTTTCTCTACAATATTTATTTCCTTCCCTTTGCCTTCCCTTCCTGCTTCTTCTTTTCTTCTGGTCATTATCATCTGGCTCTTTCCTTGACTTGACCTACATATTGATCCCAGTTTTCTCCCTAAAACCCTACCAGGCTCAAAAGTCCTCAATTCCTCTGTGCAAGGCCAGTGTCCCCACAGGCCTGGAGCTGGGAAGAGAGGTCAGGGCTACAAACCTTCCTTTGGCAGTCATCCCTGGTGAAAGGATTTTCACATGCGTAAATCGTTTAGGACAGAGACTGGAGACAGCGTGAGTGCAAGATTTTCTGGATCTGCCTCAGGTCCAGGACATCGCAGGGACCACCCCATGTGGGACTCTCCTCATCACTCCCAAAACATTTCAGCTCAGTGAAAATGAACATCAAAAGCCACCCTGAAGAAGAAAAGAAAATGAAGAGATGTCAGCTTGCAGCCTAGAGAACCAGCTGAGAGGACAGTGTCTGACGAGGCAGCCAGCTCGGGGAGCACTAGGAGCCCCCTTCACCATAAATTCCTATTTAAGAAAGGAAGGTGGTGATTCACATGCAAAATATGTTCTGATGAAAAAAGTTAAGATGGAGGAAGATACAACAAATTTCCTTCCAATCCACTCTCATCCCCACCACCATTCCAGCACGGGGAGGTCCTGGAACAGTTCTTGTAAGTATTTATGGGGCTTAGGAAAAAGCAGAGCTGCATATGCTGCAACCCAGCTCCCCCAGTTTCTCTGCCCAAGAGAAACCATTGACTATGGAGACCACTGAGAAACCTCTGCCCTTGAGGTTCAGGCCAAATCCCCACCCCAGGTCCCCATCAAGGGATACTTTGCATTCCTTATAGCGATTGTTCTCAAGCTCATCCGTTTTAAAAAATCTCGTGGGAGGCATGGATGTAATGTGAAGCTGGGTTGGTATATTTTCTTGGGACCTCTGGACACAATGTCCTCATACAGCACCCCAATAGCCTTTCCCAGCCAATTTTCTTTTCTTTTTTTTAAAAAAGATTTTATTATTTGACAGAGAGCTAGAGAGAGAGAACAAGCAGGCAGAGAGGCAGGCAAAGGGAGAGGGAGAAGCAGGCTCCCTGCAGAGTAGGGAGCCCGATGCGGGGCTCGATCCCAGGACCCTGGGATCATGATCTGAGCCGAAGGCAGCCGCTTAACCGACTGAGCCACCCAGGGGCTTCCCCCAGCCAATTTTCAAAACTGCCATAGTTTCACCATATTTGTTAGCAGATTCATTGATCAAATGAGTGAAACCATTATTGGACAGAAGTCAAGGCTCGTAGGGTGGAAGGCCATAAAGGAAGGACCCAGGGGAATTCTGCCAAATCCTGATCTCACATGCCTGGGGCTGAGGAGGATGGGACAGCCAGGGGAGTCTTGGAAATCTTGGTGTTGGGAAATTTTTTCAAAGGAGGCTAAAAGGGAAGAGAAGGAAAGAGCTTGAAACAGATCTACTTTGCAGCTGTGTGTACAGAGCCGTGGTCAAACTACCTGCGGGGAAGACCAGGTGTGTTTGGGGTTTTCGTTGTTGTTGTTCATTTGTTTGGTTTCAGTTTTAGTCCATTGTGGACCAATACTTTCATACCATGCAACACAAGTAAATAGAAAACTTAAATTTTGGGCGCCTGGGTGGTTCAGTTGTTAAGCGTCTGCCTTCGGCTCAGGTCATGATCCCAGGGTCCTGGGATCGAGTCCCACATCGGGCTCCCTGCTCGGCGGGAAGCCTGCTTCTCGCTCTCCCACTCCCCCTGCTTGTGTTCCTGCTCTCGCTGTCTCTCTCTCTGTCAAATAAATAAATAAAATCTTTAAAAAAAAAATAAAAGAAAAAAAAAAGAAAACTTAAATTTTATAAAAGGCATAAAGAATATATGCCCTATTTTATGATTAGACTGAACAGATAATAAATAGCATTTTATTAACTAAAATAAATTAGTATGGAGCCCTGACAAATGGCTGTAACTGCTTCTAAACTGACACTCAGTTTCTGTCCTTAGCTTGCCCTAGGTGGGTAATGAACAGGTCACGGACGGAGACAGTTCTGGGGACACGTTTTGAACGGCATGGCTTTAGAGGGCAAGGCTAATGAAAGTGATGAAGCAGGTGTCTAGTCTGGGAAAGAAAGCAACCCAACGGAGGGAACCACACGTGGTCTTTGGGCAGACAGCTGTTCCATAAGGGTCTCCCAAAACACTGGAGGATCAAAAGAGAGAGGAGGGATGAAGGAAAACAAAAGCACTGTTTTTGCTCTCTCCAAGAGCAGCTCATGAGGACCGCTGAGCACCACGCAGCACAGGCGGACCGCAAGGTCCCTGATTTGTGAAGCCGGTCCAGTGCTGAGCACCGCCACACACTCGCTCAGCCCAGCACAGCTGCTGCAAAAGCCATCCAAAGCAAACACGGCTCTCCCCACAGCAGACTCAACAGAACAAAACCAACACCCAGAAATAAATTGGATCGCCGAGCTCATCATGTTACACAGCTCACTGTTCTCAAATCCAGGATCCTGAATATAATAACAAATGATACTATTAACTGGCGCATCGGTCTGAAGCCAAAAGCAAATAACTCATTACTATAAACCAAATTGATTCTCAGAATTTTCCGGGTCAGCTACAAGAAAGAGTTATGAGACTGTCCTCCCAATTGAACTAAATCTCACCCATGTCTCATTGCAGTGTATATGGCTAACTCCTTTTTCCCCTCTGCAGAGCCAGCTTGCCTCTTAGCACATCTAAACTTCAGGGACTTCTCAAAGCGGGGGAGACATGTGGTCAGGTTGAAAGCAACGTGGAGCCTGGAGCCAGCACCTAAGGGCTGAAGAACCGACCCTGCCACCTGCTAGCTTGGTAATCTTTAGCAACTCTTTATCCACAAAACAAGACTGACGGCCACCTCCCTGGAAATTCAGTTGAAGATGCTTAGCAATTTGTAAAAAGCTACGTGGGTATGAGTCCTCACTACATAGAAATAAGCAGCTGAGAGATGTTTTAACCATGCCTCCCGACCCCTCCAGAAATGAAGCTTTGTCTCTTACACAGTTCATTTCCTCCTCAGAGTTCAAACCACTTCTGCACACCACACATGATTTTCCTTATGTCCCCAGCATCACTGGGATATAGGAGGGAATTGGCATCACTAGATCCACTTCGCAGCTTGGAAAAGTGGCTTATGTGCGATCTACCTAAGGCACATTAGCAGTGACAAAGATGACTTGAAAATTCATAGGGACGTTTGGCTGCAACTAAGAAGTTTGGTTTATGAAGTTTGTGGCTTTTCTTAATCCACTCCCCCTTGTCTCACCCGCTGGGACTCTGCAACAGGAAGTCACCACTCTGCATTCATTTTGCTGTTAATTCTGCTTATGTAACACCCAGAAGAGCTTTACTTTACTTTGCTGCATCCTTGTAAAGTGAAAACAGGATATTTTTCAACTTCTATGCCCTGGCAGCACATTTATTAACATACAAGTTATTTCAGGTCAGGCAAATAATTTGGTCCCCGTTACATGCTGTGGAACCTTAGGTAAATTAAGAAAACATGAAAGTATATAAATGATCATGTAAAGAGAATTTGGAAATAATAACAATTTAAGACACTTACATAATTAAATTATAATATATCCTATATAATTATAATATTGTTTATTATTATTCCTACTGTCTTATGCTAAAAAACAATTTGGTAGGATTCTCTTGCAATCTGCCAAGCATAATAGCTCTGGATTTCAATTCTCCTTTATAAAAAAAAAAATAAGGGATAGGATGCCTATATCTTAGAAAAAAGAAAATAATTTCTGTGAATTCAAGGTAAATTTTGGTCAGTATTTCTGGATTGGGGTTCCAGTGCCAGATTTATCTATTTGTACTCATAAAATTTGCACCATTGATCAGCAAGAAGCACAAACAGAATCTTGTGGAATCTTAAGTTTAATAGCTTTGGTAGTGAAAGAGAAAGTACCATAGAAAGCGAGGCTATATATTTATCATCTGTTCCCGAGGAGAATGACGAAATGCGGTCTTTGATTTTTAAAAGATATTATTATCAAGGCCCTGGATAATCACATGATTACTTTCAATTAAAAATGAGTAAAGGAGAGACCCGGAATTAAAAATGTGTTACCAATGTTCCTCTCTAATACATTATGAAATTTCCCAAAAATGTAACTAAAATTAACCCAAATTTGGTCAGATTTAGAGTAAATGGCATGACTAGGAATAAGTTTGCTACAAAACATATGGGTTTTTCTGGATGATGTTCAGGCTTTAGCTAAACCTACTGCAATGCAACCACGATCTGTGCAAGGTTCCATGTCTCTCCACATAATAAATCTATGTCCAGATGAAAAATAGAGAGAAACTAAATATGATAGGCACCACTTTCTGCCAGGAAAAATAAAAAGTATTGCTATAGAGCAATGAACATCTTTGGATCCTATCTGCAGCTTCATTAAGTTCTTATGGCTTGGATGTTTTTTATTCTTTCCCCATTTATAACATGAGTACTCATATAGATATTGAAGAGGGTTCACTCCTGAAATGAGTTCTTTATTGCATATACACCAAAAAGTGCTAAAAGCATAGATCTGATCTCCTCAAACTGATAAACACTTTCAAACATAGGTGTGAAAAACCAAGATTCGAGTTCCACCACTGCTGTCTGAAACACTTGTGGTGAGAAAGATAAAACTTTCAAGGTCAAAGCTCAGTCTTCAGAATCTTCTTCCTTCACCAATGCCATCAGAATATTTCATCTAGGCTTCTTCAATCAAAGCCATCAAAATGGTGAAGTTTTCTTTTTTTCCTCTATTTTTCCTAACAGCTGGGGCTTATATGACTTCAGAGTGTAAGTACCTCCTAGACCCACCACATTTACGCATCAAATGAATTTCTAGTGATTGTGTTGTTATTTAGAAATGAAAATTTTTCCCAACCATGTCTATCCCTTGAAACTGCATTATCAATTATTAAATTTATTATACTATTTTATATTATTTAATTATATATTATATATGTTATATATAATATTATATATTATTAAGTGTACATGTGTTTATCGGTAAAATTATTATAGCCATTAGGAGATTGTAGGGTGGTTTTTTTTATCTTGGAAATGATATAATGACTATTGGAAGAAGAATTACATGAAATAATCCGCTTGGATCTTTCATATTAAATCTTTGGGTTTTCTTCTGTAGGTTTCGGCATGGAGATTATTGGAGGGCGAGAAGTGTCGCCACATTCCCGGCCATTCATGGCCTCCATCCAGTACCACAGCCACCACCTCTGTGGAGGCGTGCTGATCCACCCACAGTGGGTGCTGTCCGCGGCCCACTGCCGCACCCGGTGAGTACCTGCTCTGACCTTGTGCGTTCTACCTCCACCGGCTAGAAGAGAAGCTCGCCTCTCCTGGAGAGAAGTTTGTTTTTTAACATTCTAAGTTTAATGAGCACTGTAATGTTTGAAGAACACAGATGTAATATCAAGGGGTATAAATAACAGTTCAATCATATATATGTATATTCTTTTAATTGAAATAGAGTTGACGTATAATATCAGTTTCAGGGGTACAACAGTGATTCAACAATTATGTACATTATGATAGGTTCACCACGATTAAAGTATTATATTATTGACTATATTCCCTGTGCTGTAGTTTCATCCCTGTGACTTATTTATTTTAAAACTGGGAAGTTTGTACCTCTTACTCATTCGTCCATTTTGCCTATCCCTCCACCCCTCCCCTCTGGCAACTACCAGTTTGTTCTCCGTATTTGTGAGTCTGTTTCTCTTTTTTGCTGTTACTGTTTGTTTGTTTCTTTGTTATTTTGTGGATTCCACATGTAAGTGGAATCATATGGTATTTGTCTTTCTCTGGCTTATTTCTCCTAGCATACTATCCTCTAAGTCTGTCCATGCTGTAGTAAATGGCAAGACTTTCATCTACCCTTAGCTTCCGTGATCACTGACCAACTGGTGGAGTTGACTTACCCTCTTGCCCATCCAAGTTTTCCGCCCTGAGTTTTCCTTTTCAGGGAGAACTGGGCCACCTTTCCCAGGCAGGCCATGGGACAGATCCAAGTCCTCCGTGGAAGGCCAGGGAAGGCAACAACCGTGGTAATTGGGGCAGCGGCCTTCCTGACCTTGCTAGACAGCCTGTGTTTGTATCTCTGCTTTCCCATTTTACAAAAGGGGAATAATAATAGTAGTACCTGTTTCATGGGGTTTGGAGGATTAAATAGTACCTATTTAAATATTTTAGTATGCTTAGCACATATAGTAAGCAGAAATAAGTTGCAGCCATTATTGTTATAGGTACGAGAAGCCTGCGTGGTTAATGGATTTTTAGAGCCCTCATGTTAACTTCTCTGCCCTGCCTCCCACCCCAGAGGCCTGAGGCCCACAGTTTGGGAATCACAGCCATAAGGGGGCAACAAACTTCCCAGCAGAAAAAGAGGGAAAAAAAGTTATAGATGATTTCTACAAGGAAAAAAGAGCTATTTTTCTGGGATACTTAGAACAAAAGCTTTTCTCAAAGTACATTTCAGTCTGTGATTCTCTTACTTCAGCTAAAAAGTCCCAAGCTCTTCTTGGGATGCTGCAACCTTTGCAAAAGGAAAAGCCATAGAAAACCAATTTGGTGTTTGTTGCTTTGTTTACTTGTTGGTTTGGGGGGATTTGGTTTTTGTTGTTTTTGTCTCTATGTTTCTTTCTTCTGTCTCTTGCCTGAATAAGCCAAGGAGAGATGGGGCTTTCTTTCCTTACAAACATTATAGCACTTCACTTAAGAATCTCTTGGCCATAATGGTTTGCTAACCAGACTATGGAGCAACTGAATTGACTTGCTTCTCCATGTCGATTGCCCACATTTTAATAAGACTAGACACAAATTTAGAAATTTTGAAGCCTGCAGGAAGTGAGAACTTCTGTTTTATTTCTAAATAGCAAGCTACTAATCTCCAGTTTAATATGACTACGTCATTCATATGGGGTTTCTGCTGTCATAGAAACCACCCTTACATCCCTATCACTTCTATCCTGTTCAGAACACTTGTCTCCGAAGGACCAGCGAGGCAGAGGGTGACTATCAAGAAATGTTCATTCAATTCAGGATATGCACATCTTCAAATATCCTTATGGCACACACTCAAGTGGATTCTAACCTCCCCAGACATAGACCTTGACTTATAAATGCTCAAGAAATTCTGGGTAGAAAGAAGGAAATAAATTGGAAGACTTTCTTTTTTTTTTTTTTTTTCCAAGCCAAAAACACAGTGTGTGAAGTCCTTCACAAGCCATAAAGTGCTTTCCAAAAGTAAATAATACTATTAATTTGAATTTAAAATTTTGTCAAGTGAACTTGACTTGATAGGAGTGGGTCCTCAAACTGACAAATTGGGGAAAAGAGATCTTGGAATTAAAAAAAGAAAAAAGAAAAAAAGAAAAGAAAAACCAACTCTTGCTAAATACCATTTTAAATGGCCAGAGTTTAAAGAACTCCAGAATATATGGATCAAATTTCCTCTCCAGGACACTTGGGTGTAAAAATGTAGGTGGATTGGTGCTTAGAAAAATATTAAGCTTTATGAAATCCAAAATATTTATGAAATAGTTTAATGGTGGCTTCCCACAAATGTACTCCCAAGTATCCTGGGGGAATACTTACTAACTTGAGCCTCTGCTTTCAGCAAAACGGTGAAGGAGGCCAGATCTGGGGTGCCCCCTTCTCACTCCCCATCCACGCAGCTCCTTACTGCGCCTCTTGGCCCCTCTTAGTTGCCTTGCCAACTAGAAAAGGAAACCAGTAAAAAAGCTTCTTGTCTAATTTTATTTACAGCATTTCAATTTATCAGAAGCAAAACTCTCACCAACTCTTTTCCATTGTTTTTCTGAATCTCACCCCTCACTGAGCATCCCCTCCTCTCACCTGCCTGGGCTGTAATTAGATGAACACCCCCCTACCCACACACACCCCCGCCCCCGCCGCAGCCCCTTCCACTTGGCCTCCCCACCATCTCAGACTGCCCCAGGGCATCCAGAGTAGAATGGTGTAGATTCAGGCCCCGGGGGCTTAACCCAGTTGAGCTTCAATCCCGCCTGCATTTGCATCCTGGAGCCTCCCCTTAATATCTGTGGGACTTTCTCAAGTTTGTTCATTCACCTGAGCCTCAATCTTCTCATCTGCAAAGTGGGGATAATCCTAATACCTCCCTCACAGGACTGTTGTGAGGTGTAAATGAGGGACAATATGTAAAATGCTTCGCACAAAACCTGGCACAGCACAATAACGTAGTAAGTGTTATATCATGTCATCAAGTTATTTTCTGTACCTTCCGTGGTAGTCACTGAGGCACAAGTCTGATGATCCAGGCGTGCTGAGGATGGGACTGTAATAGCCCCTCTCCAACAGCCAGGTAATTCCCTCGTGTCTTAGACTAAAGAGCCTCCAGGGGGTCAGGACCCAGTCTTTGTCAGCCCTGGAGGAGTGGATCTAAGTAGAAACAAGGCTCAGTGCTGAGGCAAACTGGCAGAGGAAATAAGGGGCTTGAAGGGGCTTGACATGGGGCTTCCAGAGTGTCATGGAAAGGAGCCCTGGACTTGGAATCACAAAAGGTGCGTTTGAGTCCCGATTTCCCTACTTATCATGTGTGTCACCTTTGGCCAAAGAACCCTTCCACCAATGAGGACTATACCGCACATCAGCTTGAACAACACTGAGAAAGGGTTCTTTTTAAGCCCAGTGGAAATAATGTTTCAGTAGACAGAAAAGGATTACTGTGAGCAACACTCTGGTTCCTGCTCTGCATGTAGTTCTGTTCCAGGTAAGTCCAGGGTGGGACTCAGAAAACTGCATTTTAAACACACATCTCCAGAGAATTCTGAAGCAAAGACCACCTGCAGAGAAACCCTACAATAAACAAATGAAAAACACTGGTATTATTACATTTCTGTGTGAATTCAGACCTGGGTTTAGCTAAGGAGGTGGCATCCTAAAACTCAGGTAATTCCAGGTATCCTGTGGGCAGAAAAAATGACCTTTCAGATTCCAGTTGGAGTGTATCAGGAAACAGAAAGTCAGAAAGCATTCATAGTCTGCTTGCGTTGTATTGGGTATTAACATGTCCTAGTGGAGACAAAAATAACCAAAATATTTCAAAGGCATTAACTAATCAAGTACGTTGGTAAAAGATGAGGAAAACCAGAAATTTTCTCAGCAAACATCCCCTAATCAAAATTCATCTTCCACACCCGCATTTGTACCCCACAGCCTTCCTTGTGTTTTTTATACATGTTTCCATCTTTTCTGTTAAAGCAGTAGTCCTGGGGATTTGGTATCATTCTCCACCCTCCCCCCCACCCCTCCACAGTTTGGTTTTAATGAGTATGTTGAATTTGAATTTGAATCAATCCTAGGAAATCTGATCCACATCCTTTGAGAAATTTCATCCCCATCCTGATTTTGCAATAGGCAAACTTTTCAACAAATAGAGCTGAAATTCCCAAAATAAACCAAAATAAACTATTTTGGTAGAAACTGAAGAGTGGTCATTCCTGGCAGTCACAGTCCTGCCATAGGCAAACCCACCCCACTGTAGTCCTGAGCTCCTTCTTCGAACCTGAAACAACACTTTCTTCCGTTTTCTGTATGTTTCTGTGCCTTTTAATTCTTATTAATCTTTATGAATCCATATGTGGGAGTATGTGTGTGTTTTTATTTTTAATTGAAGTATAGTTGACATACAATATTTTGAGTTTCAGACGTACAACATAGTGATTTGGCAATTATGCACATAATGGGATGCTCAGCATAAGTGTATTTACCATCTATTACAAAAGTTATTGCAATATTATTGACTATATTCCCTGTGCTGTATTTTTTATCCCCGAGTTTTTTTTTTTTTTTTTTTTTTAAGATTTTCTTTATCTATTTGACAGAGAGAGACACAGTGAGAGAGGAAACACAAGCAGGGGCAGTGGGAGAGGGAGAAGCAGGCTTCCCACTGAGCAGGGACCCCGATGCAGGGCTTGATCCCAGGACCCTGGGATCATGACCTGAGCCGAAGGCAGATGCTTAACAACTGAGCCACCCAGGCACGCCCCACCCCCCACCGAGTTATTTTATGACTGAAAGTTTGTACCTCTTAATTAATTCCCTTCACCTATTTTGCCCATCCGCCCACCACCCCCCTTTGGTAACAACCACTTTGTTCTATGTGTCTGTGAATCTGTTTCTGTTTCTGTTTGTTTGTTTGTTCATTTGTTTTGTTTTTTAGATTCCACACATAAGCAAAATCCTATGGTATTTGTCTTTCCCCATCTGACTTATGTGGGTGTGGATGTTTTTATTATAATCTGTCTTAATCCCTCTTTCAAGTGACAATGAAATAGTTACATGTAAACAAGTGTAAGTCTTTCTAGAATCTTCCTTGTTCCCTAAAGGATTTGAAGGAGCTTCCTAAAGGCACACATTAAAATGGGATTTTTTTTAATAGAATGCTGAATGCCCCAAGGTGTTGTCAAGATCTCAAAAAAAGAAAACATTTCTATTTCCATAACTAGATGTAAATGTAATTTGGTCGACATGCAGTAAATCAAATCAATTGTCGCACTATCAAAACACTGGTACTGGAGCTGTATATGACCAGGGATAAGACAAAACAAAGCAAAACAACTCTTGTTTCTTTATCTAACTCACCTGTTTCTATCCTCTAAATCTCCACAATGGAGTTATCAATGGCTACTAACCCTACAGTGTCTTTATTTCAAACTAGCAATGATTTTTCACATTGAGGCAAGTCTTCCTTTCTTGTCCAAATTATCTTTCTAATTGACAGGACAGAACATAGCTTATCTGACAGCCATGTAATGGATCTTATTTTCCATATGGCCCTGAGATGAGGTCTAGATATACCAGATTAGTGAATGCAGAGTTGAGTCTTTACTTTTTAGTTATTAAAACACTTAATGTTGGGAAGATGTAAGAATTTTGGAGATTGATGGTAGTGATTAAAGAACAACAATGTAAATGTATTCAATGCCACAGAACTGTACATTTAAAAATGGTTTAAATTATAAATTTTATGTTATATATATTGTACCTTAATTTAAAAAATTAACAATGGTGGGTATAAATCTCAACCCACAACTTGAGAAATATAATTTCTTTTTACATAAATTAACAATTTTGTTGTAAACTTGATCTCAATTAGAATTTCATTCCTTTTCCCCACAGTAGGGTATAAGTTCTGATATTCTTTTGAAATACTAGGGAATTGAGGTGGGGTGGGTCTGAGAGCAGGTCTTTTGGCCCTTTATATCATCCTTTCATGCTTGGGTTCACTAAGACCTCTGTCACTCCACCTAATCCAAACAAGTTACTTTAAAGATGGCCTTTGTTCCTCTATGTTCTCCACCATTTCTACTCCCCACTGGGGTATTTGGGACTCGTTCTCTTCCTTCTATTCTCTTTGCTTTTTTTTTAGGCATGCAAAAGTCCAGTTTTTCAAAGTGATTTTAGGAGCACACTCTCTCTCAAAGAAAGAGGACTCCAAACAAACATTTAAGATTGAAAAATTCATACCATTCTCAAGACTTACATCATATCGTAAATCAAATGATATTATGCTGATTAAGGTATGTAGTGTTGCCTTCCTTCAATTTCTCCAGCATTCTTATACAACATAGTTCAGCTGTTATATCATCTACAGAAAAGGATTTTGTTAGCACTGTCCCCATGTTTGAGGTAAATGTGACATATTCTATAAGGGCCCCTTTTACTTTATATACTGCCTTGAAAGAAACAAGAATTTATCACAAATGCATCAGGTCTGTGTTTAAACAAAGAAAAGCAACCCTGATGCTCACATATGTGGGAGGGGAACATCCCAACAAGCCCAAAGATCCCCACTGGAAGCTTTTTTCTCCAAATGCTTTTATCATTAGCAAATGAAAATTGCAAGTCCTTTATACAACCGAGCCAACCAAGTGAATTCAGGGACACGTAAGTGAGTTATAACTTAGTCTAGACCATACTTAGTCTAGTCCAGACTTAGTCTAGACCATACTCAAGGGTCTTATCCAGCAGGAAACAGCCCAGCCCTCAAAGTCATGACCTATGGATGTTATTCCACAGAAAACCATCCAATGCAGAGCAAAGGCCAGTTTGCTTAAGACTGGGCAAAATTCCTGCTCTGTCTAAGCTCCCTCCCTGAGCATCATTGAGCTCTACAGGGATTGGAGAGCATTTCAGAAAAGTAACAACCACAAATACAGCTGCAGGCTACCACCAAAGTAGATTCAAGAAGAGGGATGCCTTCCTAGACCAGAGGGACCACACATACATTGCTCAGACTAATAGCAGAATACTACTGGGGACAAATGATAATTTATGTTCTTTTCAATCTGTCAGCTTCACACGGCTGCAACACTTGACAAACATGTCCAGCTGCTCCACCCAAGCTCCAAAAATGATATCAGAGCTGGAACAAAATGCCAGGTTACTGGCTGGGGAGCCACCAACCCACAATTTTTAAGGACCTCTGATACCCTGCATGAAGTTACTGTTACGGTTGTAAACCGAAAACTTTGCAACAGCCCAAGTTATTATAACCACAACCCTATTATAACTGAAGACATGGTATGTGCAGGAGACACCAGGGGCCAGAAGGATTCCTGCCAGGTAAGAGCCCATCCATCAAATAGACAACTCAGAATGCTGTGCATGCAGTCGAACCTCCATGTGCTCCGAGCCCAGAGGAGAGGTATGGAGAACAGAAAATCACAACTCCAGAGAGTTCCTCTCCATTCCTGCACTGAGTTCTCTATTCTTTCTCATCTACCAATGTGAATGAGTCATAAGAACTTCCCCAACACATAAGAACTCTTTAAATGTCCATGAATCAGGATGATAGACTGCATCTGATAACTTTTACAGGCTTCTTCCAAGGGATCTTACCATCCTTAGAAAGCCTACCAACTCTGAGGTCACTAGTGGTGTAAAATATAACTCCCTTCCCCCCCAAAAAACCCCACCATTGTAGGCAATCAATAGAGAGGTGTTGGAAAGCCCAGATGCAAAAAGCTCAAGTATATGGTATGTGTTTCTTAAATGATGTTGACAGATTGAAAGGAAAGGAGGCATACTTTTCAGAATCTCTTGTTTTCCAAGGCAGTAAAAAAACATAGGTGTTCATGTTTGCAGGTGACACGTAGCACAGATGGATTACTAATTTTTAAGAAATTAGAATGCACTATTGACATCATACTGTATTAAGCCTTGTTGAGGGGAGGACATGATGCTTTCAAAGATCACCTGTATCTGCCGTGCCCCAAGATTGTCATCCCCCTCAGCCTCTCTTTCCATGGCAACCAGAGCACAAAGTGCTACAGTTCCCCATGGGAGTGGCAGCAGAGGCAAAGGCTGCTCTTCAGATTTGAAAGCCCCCTCTTGTCACGCTGTCACTTTCCTTGACAGAATTGTAGTTACATGTTTAGGTCTGAGTCCTCAAGAATCCGTTCACGGAGCAAGTATTTACAAAGTGTTGTATTTGTGCCGAGCATTATATTCAATTACAGGAGAATGCAAAAACGGGAAAAAAAAAAAAAAAAGACAGAGTCCCTGCCACCAATGTATTTAGTACGATACATTTCTCCTCTCTGCCCATCTCAGTAGCAACTTGATTTCAGATCCGTGAGCACCAAGATGAAATCCACAATTTAAACATTTCTTTCATTTCAGTAGATTCCTTTAAACTTTATATCTACTCATTCCTTAATGAATAAAGTTCTATAGTCACTGATTATCAAAGGTTGTATATATAAGTAGTCCTAGACGGAGACAGGGATATGGACAGAGAGACAGACAGACAGACAGACAGATGGACAGAAACATGGTCCCAGACAGAGATAGGGACACAGAGACAGACAATGGACAGAATCATTGCCCTGGCCAGAGACAGAGACAACCCACACTGAGTAAGGGGCTATATCAGGAACTCTTGAGGACACAGAGAAACCAAGGACCCACATAATAATCCTTTGAGTAACAGGTAATTAATGGTAGAAAAAGTTCAATAGCTTCTCACCAAGTATCTGTCTATTTTCTTCTTTCTAGGGTGACTCAGGTGGCCCCTTGGTTTGCAAAGGTGCCTTCTATGCCTTAGTCTCTGCAGGTCATAAATGTGGTGATGCCAAGAAGCCTGGAATCTACACCCTAATAACCCGGAAATACCAGGCTTGGATTAAAAACAAGCTTGCTCCATCTCAGACAAACTATGACCACAAATGATTTTCTTGGGTCTACCAGTTGCTTGTTTTATTTTCATAAGATGTCCTAGAGTCCACCTTTGTCTTTATATGTAGTTGGATGTAAAGTGGAGCACAGCTAGGGTCCACTCCTGCTTCCGTAGGACTGATTTTGTCAAGGAATCAAGTTCTCTTTCACATCTGTAACTGCTGTGTTTTTACTATGCTGATTTCATTCTGAATAAAACTTAGAAGACTATGTCCTTATCTTTCATGCAAATGAGAAAAAAGCAAATGATATACTTCCCACTCTATTCACACTCCCCCAAAGGGCAAAAAAAAACCAAGCCTTCAGCCAGGCACCAACTTCAACCAGGTTTATGCTGTGATTTCTGCTGTGGTTTTACCCTAAACTGTGCTTTTAAAATAAGAAACAGTAAATTCAAACACCCCAATTCAAGTGAAAAAGGAATCATCAAGGCTAATACAAATATTTAGGATAGTACTTATTATTGATTTCTGTCATACTTCATTCCACACAGGATTTAAGGCAATGTACAAAAATATGTGCCATAAAACTAAATATGAAGTTAAAAATAATTTTTCCTCAAAAAATTAAAAATAGAAAATGTTATATGATCCAGAAATTCCACTGCCAGGTATTTATCTGAAGAAAATGAACACACTAACTTGAGAAATTATCTGTACCACCCCATGCTCACTGCAGCATCACTTACAATGGCCCAGATGTGGAAGCAAGTTAAGTGCTCATCAATGGAAGAATAAAGAAACTGTGAGATATATATATATATATATATATATATATATATATATATATATATAAAATATTCAGTAATACATATAATATATATTATACATATATATGTATATGTTTATAATGTGTATGTATATAATATATAATTATATGTAATATATATATAATATTCAGCCATAAAAAGGATGAAATCTTGCCATTTGTGACAACATGGATGGGCCTCGAGGGCATTATTCTGAGTGAAATAAGTCAAAGACAAATATCCTATGGTCTCTCTTATATGTGGTATCATCTACAGAGAACGGATTGGTGACTGCCAGATGTGGGCAGTCGGGAGATGGGAGAAATGGGTGAAGGGGGTAAAAAGGTAAAAAAAAAAAAAAAAAAAAAAAAAATTTAAATCATAAATAAATAAATAATTTGGTGAAGAAACTGAAGCAAGGGGGAAATGAGACCTTTGAAGAAGAAGATGAAGACAGGAGTGTTACTACCCAAAGGGCCACCCTTTTCTTCCCATACTATTGCTAGAAGGAGTTGTGTTTGCCTCGTATGCTTCACAGGAATCAATACAAAAAGAGCAACACAGTCAGTTATATGAATTACAGTATCCAGGAAATAAAAATCAACTTATCTGCCCAGACATAGGACAACTGGTGCTGATACAGGGCCTGGAGAGGACTTTTTGGGGGGGATCTGTGTCAAGGATGCTGTTCCAGGGCTCCCACATCCCTACCAACTGTATCAGATCACTTGAGAAGATCCTTCTGTAACACACGTTGCCCCAACTCCTTGCTCAGACATTCAGACTGAATGGGCTTGAGGTGGGCCTGGAAGTCTGCACGGTTTACAAACAATTCAACTGATTCCTATAAATGGGCAAATCTAAAAAGCCGCTAATAGTGAACATCCTTAAAAACATCTTACAAGAAAGAACAATTGTTCTTTTATAAGCCCTTCGGTGTGAACCGAGGACTGCAGACCAGAGTGCAATTCAGTCAGTGTCCTGGAGGGTCTCACTGTCCTTGACTATGGCCGCCCCGTAATGAGAATCTGACAATTTCTAATCTGGTGGCGGAGGACAGGGGAGTCATTCAGGCTTCTCCTTCAACAGTCGGAAACCAAAAGGTTATTCTCAGTCTCTATATTTCATTTGGGTTTCAGAGGATGCATAGTGCTCATTTCTAGGTGCCACCATCGGGTTTCTTACATTCATATAAAAATGGATGCTTTTATTTGTTTGTTTGTTGTCATGGTCCTCAGGAACCACTCACCAGGACTACTCTACTAGAAATACTTTGACAAGTGGAAGCACTGGGTTTAAAAGGAACCTAATTAAAATTATAGAACTGCTTTGAAAGTAAGTAGTAAAAAAAAAAAAATAGTAGTTAAAAAAAAAGGTTCTTTCAGTATTCCATTTTGTATCATTTTGATTCATTAAAAATATGCTGATTTTGACCGATAAATCCCAGACTATATTTCCTAAGAAAAGAAAGGGGAAATTGCAGAGACTCTGAACTCACCATTAAAAAAGTATTATATATTTCATCTAAATTCCAAATCCAATGGAATATATAGTTACAAGTCTCTTTAATCTAGCAAAAGGGTGGTTGAGATTCCTTCTGATTGCAGTTGGGGAGTATCCTGAAAAGTTTCACTAAAACCTGACATTTGTTTTGATTTTAGACTCCATGCTGTTCCCATCCAATGGTCAAACTAGATAAGATTGCCAGAGAGGAAACTTCTGTCAACAGCTATGGCAGATCTGTTGACTCTTAAATTGGAAGATAAACAGTTTATTTTGACAAGTAGCTGATGATGGAGCCCACAATTGAAAAGTATCCCTCATCCTCCTAGGGAAGCAATATTTTATTAAACATATCAAAATCTTCCCAACATAACCTAAAAGAATATGGTGTCTTAGTTTGGGGAAGTTTGTCTTGGAGACAGTATTTGATTCCATCTATGACCTCAAAGAAAAGCTGAGAGTAAAAATGAGGTAAATATCTTGATTGTGAAAACTGCTCAAAAACTTTAGGGGAACATGAATGGCTGTTGTCATTCTAAATTATCCCACTTTTTCCTTTCTTCGTGATGTGGACAGAGCATATTTGCCTTCCCCCCAGACACTGAAAAAAGCTTCATGCTTTATTTTATGTCCAACCAGCTTTAATAGAAAGTGACAGCCCTAGAAATAGGACCAGTATCATGCATGAAATAAATCAATATAAATTCAGGTGGGTGACTAAACCAGTCTAGAACCAGGTAGCAGAATTAGTCCTACTGTATGACCCTCATAGTTTTTGCACATAATAAATCTCCACTGATCCTGCGATGATAGGAAAAGCAGTGCTTCCCACTTGATTGCTTCAGAAGGGTATCTCAATAAAGGCGAGAACTGCTCTGAGTCTGTCAGAGACCCTCTTCCTCTTTGACTAAGCTCTTGGTTTATGACGGGGCACACACGTGATGGAGAAAGACACTGTTCCACCTGTCTAAGGGCGATGCACCCAGATCTCTCCAAAGCTTACAATTTCACAAGATTACCGAGGCAACCCTGCACAGCTACTCATATATTCTCTTAAGAGATATTTGAGTATCAAATGCATGCTGGCTGAACAGATGGGCTCCTTGTATCTGGAATGATTCAGCCCGGCTTTTAAGGTTTCACACATTGACTTCCTGTTTACTAATGTTAACTTGTTCAGCCCTTTTGCTGAGTCACATCAGTCAACTCCAGATTAGCATGAAGAGATTGTGTTCATTTTCTTGTTTTGACCGTAAATGTCGATGTAACAGCCTATTAGAAGCCGCCGATGGGGTCTACACTGAGGTTTCTCTTGAGAACTTAGGAGTAAGTAGAATGAAATTGTCCTCTGAAAGTTAAAATTTAAACTCCATAGATACTGGCTCAGAGCAGAGATCCACAAGAGTACTCTGAAGAGATGTTGAGGTTCACAAGCTTACAAGACAGCCTGCAATCTGCTTGAACGTTAACGACTGGCAAGATGAGTGACCCAGTCTGAAGGGGAGGAGGACAGCCATGCGTACAGGGAAAAGCAGGCAACACAGGCAGTGGACCAACCAGAATTGATGAGGAAGGGAGGGAGGTGAGCCCCTAGTAAGTCCATTCTCACTTTAGCCTGACTTCACTAAGCATTCAGCTGCCTTACTTGGTCTGTTTCTAATCCCATGCTCACCAAGCAAACTTCTGTGAGCATTTTGCTCCCTGTGACAGTTATTTCTTATTGCAAATTAATAAACATTTTGCTTTTCCGTATCTATGATAATTTTTTTAACCTCTAAATTAGGGTTATTTGAATTTCTCTTTAAGAGTCGAATCACTCTGTGTGCTGATAAAAATCAAGTTTCAGTCCCCGCAGTAATGAAGGTCAAACCCTGAACTTTGGTAAATTCACCAACGTAATGAATATTAACTACCCCATGAGAATTTCCAACACATCAACAGCCTGCCTCTCCCCTGGAGAGTACTCTTGGCATACCTGCTCTGGCCACAGGCATGAAATGTGCTCACACTTGGAGCATCTATACATACATTATCCCATTAGTCCCCTGATTATCCAATAACTCCAAGAAAAATGATGGTTTTTTGGCTGTGTTCTGTCTAGTTCACCTAGTAGCAGAGACTGCTGGTTTGCTACACATCAGCCATCTCCTCTCTTCTCTGGTAACAAAACTCAAATTTTACTGGGAGCCACAAATCTATACAGCTTAAAAATGGTGTTTTCTAGCCTCTTTCGCTGCTAGAAGTGGTAAAGGGGATGTAAGTGAAAAATCATTGGCTGGGAGCTTCCAGGAAGTTCCTTTAAAGAGAGTTGTTTCAGTAGGAAAGAGTGTCCTTTCCCCCTTCCTTCCTCCTACTACTTGGATGATAGATGTGGTGGCTAGATCACTAGCAACAATGCTGGAACCATGAGGCAAGCTTGAATAGAAACTAAGTGTTTATGGCAGTGAAGCAAAAAGAAGGAGTCTTTATGTCAATCCTGTACTCTTTACCTGAGGACTTCTTTTACATGAAAGAAAATAAACACTTGTGTTTAATCCACTATTATGTGGAGCTTTCTGTCAAATACGTCCTCACTCAATCCTACTAGATGAAATCAGAAACCTAAAATTTCTATCCCTGATGTATGCTCCAATGACGAGCATATGTCTTTATGCCCTTATGTCCAGATCCTCCAAAATCCCAAACTCCCAAATGGCTTTAGCTTTCCACCTTGTCCTATTTAAACAAGAATTGATTCAGAAAAGTCACTTTTAAATGCTATAATCAATAAACACTTTTCCCTCACTGTTCCATCCTGTGGCTTAACATGAAGAAAATGCCCTGGCTTACTTGAGAAGATATTTTTATCTTAACCACACATTGCTGCATGGCAAACATTCTTGTTCCTATTGTCAAAATAATGCTTGACACTCAGTAATCTGTAACCTTATTTTCTCCTTTTGTGTATATTTTGTAAGGGGATCTTGTGGAGTTGTTTTTTGTGAAGTTCCATGAAAATAATGTTTTCTGGCATCTGAGGTTTTCATTTGCTTTATTATTTCACAATCATTTGAAATAATACAGCAGTTTTT